AAGGTGCTACCAAGTTATAGGACAACTTTGACAAAGTGAGAGACGAAACAATAACAAAAACTAAGTAAGCTGTTATTAATTACGTTCTTCAAAAAGTGCGGCCAAGTTTTTTTGCGAAAAAAAGAGTGCCAGAGAAAAGATAAAACAACATCTAAGCATTTTTGACTAAATTAAATCTGTTTTTTTTCCATTACTAGATAAAATTGTTAAATAAAAAGATGCTCTTAGTAATAATAATCATAATTTTCTATTTTCTTTTCATATAAATTGCCCTTTTTTGCGTAAATGCCACCCTAAATTCTTATTACCACTTTAAAAGTGGTTTTATTTTTATTCACAAATTGTTTATTTAACAACTAACTAGACTGAAACTCTGAAATAACAGGGGATAAAGAATACACCATATTAACAAGTGTTCATGTTGATGATGGTTTTCTAAAATTAGAGGGTTGTTTTAAACAAAATTTTATAACGAACATATTGCAGCCAGACCAGAACAGGTCAGGCCCTTAAGGCTTAAAAGTGTTGGTTATAAAAATATTAAATCTGCTGATTCCACTTGATTGCCATTTAATTTTGATTTAATTTACACAAAATAAACAATAAATCAAAACAATAAAAATAAACATATAGAGAAAAATTAATATAGAAAATTCTATATAAAAATAATATTTATTTTAAAGTAAAGAAAATCTTAACAGACCACCTAGAAAATTCTACTTTTAATTCTTTTCGCAATTATGTTTTTAGAAATCTTTTTGTCGGCTTTTTAAAACATTTATTTTGTTGTAATGTGTTAATAGTTTTCCAAAATAAATCCTTTTAAAAGCAAGAAAAAATTGTGTCATTTCGTTTAAGGATCAAGAAAAAAGGGTATTTTTTCTATTACAATGATAGAGCAGTTTTTAGGGTAAAAGTATTATTATTATTATGCTGTTGTAATAATAACCTTTTTTTAGTACTGTTTGTTTACTTTTAAGGCGGTATTTAATAGCAAATTGTGTTCTTTTTTTTGTAATATTAGAGTGCTATTTAATAGACAAATTTGGCCTGTTGGTTAAGTACTTATTTTAGGGCTAAAGCAACTGTTTAGGAGTTAATTGTTTACGCCCATGTTTGTGGAAATGATGCCATTATTGTTTGATTTTTAATAGCAATTTCCTCCTCAGAATGAAATTATAGTCCCACATGTAATTTAATTTATGGTCAGGTCTAATCTATAGTCTCGACTATAGTCTAGTCTATAGTCTAGTATATAGTCTAGTCTATAGTCTAGTCTATAGTCTAGTCTATAGTCTAGTCTATAGTCTAGTCTATAGTCTAGTCTATAGTCTAGTCTATAGTCTAGTCTATAGTCTAGTCTATAGTCTCGACTATAGTCTAGTCTATAGTCTAGTCTATAGTCTAGTCTATAGTCTAGTCTATAGTCTAGTCTATAGTCTAGTCTATAGTCTAGTCTATAGTCTAGTCTATAGTCTCGACTATAGTCTAGTCTATAGTCTAGTCTATAGTCTAGTCTATAGTGGAGTCTATAGTCTAGTCTATAGTCTAGTCTATAGACTAGTCTATAATCTAGTCTATAGTCTAGTCTATAGTGGAGTCTATAGTCTAGTCTATAGTCTAGTCTATAGTCTAGTCTATAATCTAGTCTATAGTCGAGTCTATAGTCTAGTCTATAGTCTAGTCTATAGTCTAGTCTATAGTCTAGTCTATAATCTAGTCTATAGTCGAGTCTATAGTCTAGTCTATAGTCTAGTCTATAGTCTAGTCTATAGTCTAGTCTATAGTCTAGTCTATAGTCTAGTCTATAGTCTAGTCTATAGTCTAGTCTATAGTCTAGTCTATAGTCTAGTCTATAGTCTAGTCTATAGTATAGTCTATAGTCGAGTCTATAGTCTAGTCTATAGTCTAGTCTATAGTCTAGTCTATAGTCTAGTCTATAGTCTAGTCTATAGTCTAGTCTATAGTCTAGTCTATAGTCTAGTCTATAGTCTAGTCTATAGTCTAGTCTATAGTCTAGTCTAGTTAAGTCTAGTCTATAGTCTAGTCTATAGTCTAGTCTATAGTCTAGTCTATAGTCCTAGTCTATAGTCTAGTCTATAGTCTAGTCTATAGTCTAGTCTATAGTCTAGTCTATAGTCTAGTCTATAGTCTAGTCTATAGTCTAGTCTATAGTCTAGTCTATAGTCTAGTCTATAGTCTAGTCTATAGTCTAGTCTATAGTCTAGTCTATAGTCTAGTCTATAGTCTAGTCTATAGTCTAGTCTATAGTCTAGTCTATAGTCTAGTCTATAGTCTAGTCTATAGTCTAGTCTATAGTCTAGTCTATAGTCTAGTCTATAGTCTAGTTTATAGTCTAGTCTATAGTCTAGTCTATAGTCTAGTCTATAGTCTAGTCTATAGTCTAGTCTATAGTCTAGTCTATAGTCTATAGTCTGTAGGTCTAGTCTATAGTCTAGTCTATAGTCCTAGCCTATAGTCCTAGTCTATAGTCTAGTCTATAGTCTAGTCTATAGTCTAGTCTTAGTCTAGTCTAGTCTATAGTCTAGTCTATAGTCTAGTCTATAGTCTAGTCTATAGTCTAGTCTATAGTCTAGTCTATAGTCTAGTCTATAGTCTAGTCTATAGTCTAGTCTATAGTCTAGTCTATAGTCTAGTCTATAGTCTAGTCTATAGTCTAGTCTATAGTCTAGTCTATAGTCTAGTCTATAGTCTAGTCTATAGTCTAGTCTATAGTCTAGTCTATAGTCTAGTCTATAGTCTAGTCTATAGTCTAGTCTAGTCTATAGTCTAGTCTAGTCTATAGTCTAGTCTATAGTCTAGTCTATAGTCTAGTCTATAGTCTAGTCTATAGTCTAGTCTAGTCTATAGTCTAGTCTATAGTCTAGTCTATAGTCTGGTCTATAGTCTAGTCTATAGTCTAGTCTATAGTCTAGTCTATAGTCTAGTCTATAGTCTAGTCTATAGTCTAGTCTATAGTCTAGTCTATAGTCTAGTCTATAGTCTAGTCTATAGTCTAGTCTATAGTCTAGTCTATAGTCTAGTCTATAGTCTAGTCTATAGTCTAGTCTATAGTCTAGTCTATAGTCTAGTCTAGTCTAGTCTAGTCTAGTCTATAGACTAGACTATAGACTATAGTCTATAGACTATAGTCTATAGACTAGACTATAGTCTAGTCTATAGTCTAGTCTATAGTCTAGTCTATAGTCTAGTCTATAGTCTAGTCTATAGTCTAGTCTATAGTCTAGTCTATAGTCTAGTCTATAGTCTAGTCTATAGTCTAGTCTATAGTCTAGTCCATAGTCTAGTCTATAGTCTAGTCTATAGTCTAGTCTATAGTCTAGTCTATAGTCTAGTCTATAGTCTAGTCTATAGTCTAGTCTATAGTCTAGTCTATAGTCTAGTCTATAGTCTAGTCTATAGTCTAGTCTATAGTCTAGTCTATAGTCTAGTCTATAGTCTAGTCTATAGTCTAGTCTATAGTCTAGTCTATAGTCTAGTCTATAGTCTAGTCTATAGTCTAGTCTATAGTCTAGTCTATAGTCTAGTCTAGTCTAGTCTAGTCTAGTCTAGTCTAGTCTTAGTCTAGTCTATAGTCTGGTCTATTTCCTAGTCTATGGTTCATTCTATAGTCTAGTCTGTAGTCTAGTCCTTTTTCTAGTCTATAGTCCATTCTAAAGTCTAGTCTGTAGTCTAGTCCTTGTTCTAATTTATAGTCTAGTCTATAGTTCGTATTTTTGTTGTTATCTATTGTATGATGTAGTGTGGTGAAATTGCCAACAGTGCAGCCAATATGATCTGAAAAAGCTCTAATTTATACCCTTTAACACCCGCAATTACTTATTATTTACTAATTTACTTAAACAGAATTAAACGTGAGATTTTGATCAAAAATACAACCATACAAAATTCTTACGCTCTATGGAAATTCTATAGAAAATTTAATTTCATTGCTGGTTGGGAATTTAATTAACCAATAAATGTTAACAAATTATCTTTGACAAATCAAATGTCTTTTAATAAAATTGTTTGTTTAGAGTATTTACTTGTTTAAACAAAGCTAGCAAGGTATTAATGACAAATACTTATGAAGCTAAAAGAAAAAGTTTTAAAACTCATTTTTTGAAACGAAAAACAAGAAATGCTTTTAAGTTAAAAGCGGTATTAATACCCTACTTTGCATGTTTGTCCATGAACCAAAAACTAAATCCTTGAGGAAAAAAAGTCCTTTTTTTTTGGGTAACACTTGAAATATTTTCCTTTTTAATACACTTAAGGGGTGGCAAAGCGTTAGGTAGTGAAATGATGATTCGGAAAGCAGACATGAAAAACATTAAGCCACCCTTAAGGGCAAGATTCCCAGGCAACTGGGGCGTAAATATAAAAGTAATATGTAAAAGTAAAGCATCATCACAACAACCGCAACGGCAGCAGCAGCAGCAGGAATTGTGTGTGAGATATACAAACTCTTTGGGTAAACATTACTAGCAAACGACTTTGTTTACATTTTCAATAGAATTGTGTAGAAATGAAATGATATATATATATATATATATATATATATATCATTAAGCAAAACAAGATAATATTGTTTTCTTTTTTTAACGAAAACAAAACAATCTAAATAATGATGATAATAATAATGAAATAAACTTAGAAGCCTTTTAAATCCTGCACAAGCGTTACTTTTTTTTACTACGCTCTATATAGATTTGGCAACCAACAACAACAGCAGCAACAACTAAACAAATAAAGTATTGTTCTCACATGACTGCACTCAATTGGTTTCGCGCTTTTAACAATACACAAAAAACCTCTACACGATTTTAACAAACATTTACACAATGTTATATGAGTAACAAGGAAACGGAAATGAAATCATCTAACTAATGACCGCATAATTAAAATATTATAATTACAACTAACACACAAGCATAAAGACAAGAAAGAAAAAGAAACACTTTAGCATTTTTTCCCTAAAATAATAATGCAACACTTACCTCTACTCTTTCTTCCTTTAAATCCACTTTTAAAGCTAATTGCTCACGCAACACTACATCAGGATAGTGTGTCTTTTCGAAAGTCGCCTCCAATTGTTCCAATTGTTCTTCGGTGAAAATTGTACGATGACGACGCTTTCTTTTTGGTGGTGGTCCATGACCCAAATGTCCTGCCATATGATGACCATGATGGCCATGATGTAAATGATGAGCATGTGCATGATTATGATTGAGGCTGGAACTGTGACCACTAACATGTGCTTGCATTTGTGCGGCTGCTACGTGGGCAACAGCGGCGGCATGCATATAGTTGGGATAGAAATTGGGATAAGCAACTGTAAGGAAGAGAAAAAACAATTGTATGTTTTTGTTAAAGTAATATGTAAATCATATTGTGTGGAGAAGTCAAGTTTATGGCATAAATGATAAAAAGTTGTTTTTTTTTTATTATTTTTCGCTGAATTTTAATAATATTCATAGGAGTAACTTGATATTTTACATACATTTGTTTGTTTTGTAAAATTCTCCTGAATATTAAAGGAAAAAAAATCGTAAAAATGTAAAATTTTTTATTTTTAAAGGTTGTTTTTGTTGTTAACATTAGAAAAGTTAATCCTTTAAAAGATCAGTAAAGAGTAAACCAATTCTGTATAATAAAATCCCAAATAAAATGGTGAAAATATATGTTAAAAGTAAAATGTAACCGATTTTAATAAAATCCTTTATGGTTGAACTGCGTTATGCTGTTAATTCATTGTGAATGCTTTAAATGCTGCCATATGTTTTAGAATCCTAAAAAGTGATGTGAAGTATACCGAAAATCTATAAAATGTAGTTTAAAAGCCAAATCAGAATCACATCAAATTCGTTACCAGCGTTATGCTATTAATTCATAGTGAATGCTTAAAGTGCTGCCACATTGATAAGAAATGTAAATAGTGTTGTCAAGTGTAAACAACAAGAGCTAATCCTGTAATACAACTAAATAAATTAGAAGAACGGATTCAGACGAATGTCGTGGTAAAATGTTGTCGCAATTTTTCTGTCATTACCAGGCTTTTATTACCAATCCCTTGGGATCACGGATTGTAAAATTCTAAGGAACAACGACCTAGAAACTATGTTTCTATACAGCGGATGCTAATACCTTCATAGAACAGTTTCCATGATAAGGAGCGCATAACAGACACGATAGCAACCTAGATGTATACATCCACCTCTCATCATTATCTAATAATCACTAAGAAAAGTATGTAGCAGAATCACAAAGAAAACCATTAAAAGTCAACTTCGTTATGCTGTTAATTCATTGTGAATGCCTAAAGTGCTGCCAAATTGATCAGCAAACTAAAACAGTGATGCCTAGTATACTTTTAAATGATATTTCTAAAGCATTATGATCTTTATTTTGAATGAAGATGCCTATAGATTGTAGTAGAGAGAGATAGAGAGTATAATACAAGTTGGAGTGTCCGTCTCTCTAAACATTTAAAGTTTGTTATTTAAACTACAAATCACGGTTTTGTAGAAAACTAAATGGAACACGAAAAAGTCTGGTAAAAATATTTGTTACAAGATCTTTTAAGTCAACATCTAAATAATTATAAAAATTAAATCTTCGACTAGAAAATTAATCCCCTTTTTAAATCTTAAAATCCTTTAAAATTATAAAATGTTTTCGTTCTTTGTCTCCCTATATAAGAAAGAAAAAAAGCTTTTAAAGTTAAACGTTTCATATTCTAAAGATTAGAAAAACAAATCATAAACATTCCATTACATTTACATTTCTTATTTTATTAATATAAATAAAATACTTAAATATAATCACAACAACATTTTAAATCAGGCTTATAACTGGAAATTGAAGGAATATGTACCTCACATTTTTTATCATATTTTTAACATAAAAAACGGCTTATTATATTGTTGCCACTCACACACAATTCTTCACTCAAGCGTTTTATGCCGCAATAAGCAATAAACCGGAAAAGATGATTTGATTTTTATTCCTTTATTTCATTTTTCACTCCAGGCGAGAAGATTTTTTTCTATGCAAACGTTTTTTTTTTTTTTTCTTTTTTGTTCAGATAGATATTTTTTTATAAAACTTACACAGTTTTACGTTTGACTATGGTCCTTCGTACTCAGGTGTGTGTTAAACAAGAGTGTTGAAAGTGTATTTGTTGTGGTATTGTGATGGTGGTGGAATTGGCGATTATATTCAAAATTTAAAAGCATAATTTCTTTTAATGCATATTAAGTCAGCCATGAAAGCGGGAATATATACATTTTGAAAGGTTAATGGAATGGGGAGGAGGGGTGATGAAAGTTATAATATAAGTTTAAGAGAAATTATTAATGCAATGCAGATTTTTATATTGTAGATTATTTGTATTTTTGGGAATTAGCTTTAGATATTATGGGTTTTAAGGGGAGGGGGATTATAATGTCGATATTGTGTTTATAGCAGAGGAGTAATGAAAATAATGTGTCCGCTACAACTTACGGAAGAGTTAAATGTCAATAAAACTGTCTTACTACGCTAACTATTTGACATTTATGATAATTATACTCTGGCAAATCATTATTAATCTTTAATTAATTTGACGCTTCATTTACCACTTTTAAGAAATCAACATTTGGCGATAACTTAATTGCGAGAAATGGACCTGTCAATTATCCTCCAAGATTTTACACCCCTCGATTATTTTTAATGGGGTCACGTTGAAACCTTGGAGTCGAAGTGGAGTTGACTATAGACTAGACTATAAACTAGACTATAGACTATAGACTAGACTATACACTAGACTATAGACTAGACTATAGAGTAGACTATAGACTAGACTATAGACTAGAAAATGGACTAGACTATAGACTAGCCTAGACTATAGACTAGACTAGACTATAGACTAGAATATAGACTAGACTATAGACTAGACTAGACTATAGACTAGACTAGACTAGACTAGACTAGACTAGACTAGACTAGACTAGACTAGACTAGACTAGACTAGACTATAGACTAGACTAGACTAGACTATAGACTAGACTATAGACTAGACTATAGACTAGACTATAGACTAGACTATAGACTAGACTATAGACTAGACTATAGACTAGACTATAGACTAGACTATATACTAGACTATAGACTAGACTATAGACTAGACTATAGACTAGACTATAGACTAGACTATAGACTAGACTATAGACTAGACTATAGACTAGACTATAGACTAGACTATAGACTAGACTATAGACTAGACTATAGACTAGACTATAGACTAGACTATAGACTAGACTATAGACTAGACTATAGACTAGACTATAGACTAGACTATAGACTAGACTATAGACTAGACTATAGATTAGACTATAGACTAGACTATAGACTAGACTATAGTCTAGACTATAGACTAGACTATAGACTAGACTATAGACTAGACTATAGACTAGACTATAGACTAAACTATAGACTAGACTATAGACTAGACTATAGACTAGACTATAGACTAGACTATAGACTAGACTATAGACTAGACTATAGACTAGACTATAGACTAGACTATAGACTAGACTATAGACTAGACTATAGACTAGACTATAGACTAGACTATAGACTAGACTATAGACTAGACTATAGACTAGACTATAGACTAGACTATAGACTAGACTATAGACTAGACTATAGACTAGACTATAGACTAGACTATAGACTAGACTATAGACTAGACTATAGACTAGACTATAGACTAGACTATAGACTAGACTATAGACTAGACTATAGACTAGACTATAGACTAGACTATAGACTAGACTATAGACTAGACTATAGACTAGACTATAGACTAGACTATAGACTAGACTATAGACTAGACTATAGACTAGACTATAGACTAGACTATAGACTAGACTATAGACTAGACTATAGACTAGACTATAGACTAGACTATAGACTAGACTATAGACTAGACTATAGACTAGACTATAGACTAGACTATAGACTAGACTATAGACTAGACTATAGACTAGACTATAGACTAGACTATAGACTATAGACTAGACTATAGACTAGACTATAGACTAGACTATAGACTAAACTATAGACTAAATTATAGACTAGACTTGTCTATAGATCAGACTACGGTAGACCAGAGCCTACTATAGACTAGACTTTAGACCAGATTACACAATAGACTACACTTTTGACCAGACTAGATTATATATACTAGAGTATCCATATTGCCCGATACACAAAGTCTTCATAACTTAACCTTTCAAAGTTAATCCTTTCTCGGTAATCAGCGTTTATTATATGTAGGTTTAAGGCAAAATTGTTAGTTAAACAAGGTTAAACTAAGATTTTCTACCAATCTAAACACAAACCAAAGCCCTTTCTTTCAGATTTCATCAGTTTTCCTAATGTTTACTTTTTTCTTTTTCTTCAATTTTTCCTAAAACTAAACTTTTAATCTTCTTAAACAAGGAGTCGTAAGTTTAACTAAACTTTCTAACTTAACCTTCTGCCACCAGCAATGGCAGCAAAAAAATATCATATTACCCTTTTTTTTTTAAAAAACTTACCTAAAAAATCCGAAGGTGAGGCAGCGAAACCAGAAGCAGCAGCAGCAGCTAAATGACCCAAATGTAAACCAGGATGCTGCAACATGGCTGGTACACGTTGCGGCCGTAAGGGACTAGAGGCAGCCGAGCTAGAATTTGAACTGGGTGATGTGGGGGAATCGGAACGTTTTGAATTGATGATATTGTTATTGTTAATGCTATTATTGTTATTGTGATTAGCGGAACGGGAACCCAAAATGCTGTCGATGCTAAAGATAGAGGCAGCTGCGGCGGCTGTGGCAGTAGCCGAACCGACGGCTGTTTCTCTTAAAGTAATGCGATCATCGTCGATTATAGTGGCACCCGATTGTGAGCCATCATCCGAGGAGGGGGTTTGAGATTGGGTATGTTGCTGCTGCTGTTGTTGTTGCTGCTGGAATACCGATTGTAAACGTTGTCCCAAATAGCCACATTGTTGAGAATTTAAAAGCATGGCGGTGGTTAGATAAGCAGCATTTGGTGTTGCGGGACTGTGAGGACTTTGACGGGGCGTAGTATTATTTTGATTGCTCATAGAGTTGTGTAAATGTTGCTGATGTAATTGCTGCAATTGTTGCTGTTGTTGGAGGTGTTGTTGTTGTTGCTGCTGCAGATTATGATGATGATGATCACTTAAAGGACTGGAGGGACAACGTTTTATGGTTAATCCACTAGGAGGTGAGGTTGTTTCCACCATTTTGTTTGTATTAATATTAAGTTTAGAGGGATTAAGGGAATTTATGTCCAAAGGTGGTGTGGGAGGCGGTGAGCTTTCCGGGCTACGTATAACGGTAATTTTAAATTTAGCCGTATTAGCTACTAGTTTAGGCTCCAAGTTACCAACAAGTTGGTCTGGAGCAGGCCACAGTGAGGACAGAATTTTGTTAATTTTTTTTTTATTAATATTCAAATTTAATGTTTTAAAATTTTAACACTTTTTCACACACACTTTTTTAATCGGCTTTTAAAATTTTATTAATATTTATTTTCTTATTTTTTCTCTCAATTAAGTTTTAATTTGCTTTCCTTATTTTATTAAATAATTTTATCTTGTTTGTTATTTTCAGATTTATTCAAATTTTTTCACACGCACTTAAACACACGCTACTTCCTGCTGGTTTGAAATCCGAAACTGTTGTGTTATGCCTTCAATTTACGCACTTCCAAACAACTTGTCTATTAAAATCTTTTTTCAAAAACACTTATACCTTAATATCTTAAACACCATTCCTTGTTAAAAACACGCCCATTTTAGCTACGGCTTGTGCTACCATATTGAAAATATCTCAAGTGTTAGAGCAATAAATCACTCTCTTTATGCTTGCATTGCCGCTTGTATGCTTGTTTTTACATGTGAGTATTTTTTATTTAATTCTCTCTATGTATGTTAAAGAGAATGTTGTTTGACTACCTGGTGTTACCAATATAATTTGTAAACATTTTAAGGGTGGTTGAAAATGGTTAACGCCCTCTTTTTATTGTTGTTGTTTGGTTTGAGATAAATTCATTCATTAAATTTACAAAAAATCCAACAGAAAAATGTCACTGTATATGAATGGCGCTCATTACAGGAAATTCACACATACAAATACTTTCCTTTTGCTCAATATTTACTATGATGCGCATTATAATCGCCATGACTATCTCTGCTGATAACGGGTTTGTGTGTATGTTCCGGCGGATAAAGTCTGTTTCAGACATGGAAAACTGAAATTTTGAAATAATTACGAAAAGAGTACTAGACTATAGGCTAGACTTTAGATACAGACAGTAGACTAAATTATAGAATAGACTATAGACTAGACTATAGACTAGACTAGACTAGACTAGACTATAGACTAGACTATAGACTAGACTATAGACTAGACTATAGACTAGACTATAGACTAGACTATAGACTAGACTATAGACTAGACTATAGACTAGACTATAGACTAGACTATAGACTAGACTATAGACTAGACTATAGACTAGACTATAGACTAGACTATAGACTAGACTATAGACTAGACTATAGACTAGACTATAGACTAGACTATAGACTAGACTATAGACTAGACTATAGACTAGACTATAGACTAGACTATAGACTAGACTATAGACTAGACTATAGACTAGACTATAGACTAGACTATAGACTAGACTATAGACTAGACTATAGACTAGACTATAGACTAGACTATAGACTAGACTATAGACTAGACTATAGACTAGACTATAGACTAGACTATGACTAGACTATAGACTAGACTATATACTAGACTGTAGACTAGACTATAGACTAGACTATAGACTAGACTATAGACTAGACTATAGACTAGACTATAGACTAGACTATAGACTAGACTATAGACTAGACTATAGACTAGACTATAGACTAGACTATAGACTAGACTATAGACTAGACTATAGACTAGACTATAGACTAGACTATAGACTAGACTATAGACTAGACTAGACTATAGACTAGACTATAGACTAGACTATAGACTAGACTATAGACTAGACTATAGACTAGACTATAGACTAGACTACAGACTAGACTATAGACTAGACTATAGACTAGACTATAGACTAGACTATAGACTAGACTATAGACTAGACTATAGACTAGACTATAGACTAGACTATAGACTAGACTATAGACTAGACTATAGACTAGACTATAGACTAGACTATAGACTAGACTATAGACTAGACTATAGACTAGACTATAGACTAGACTATAGACTAGACTATAGACTAGACTACAGACTAGACTATAGACTAGACTACAGACTAGACTATAGACTAGACTATAGACTAGACTATAGACTAGCCTATAGACTAGACTATAGACTAGACTATAGACTAGACTATAGACTAGACTATAGACTAGACTATAGACTAGACTATAGACTAGACTATAGACTAGATTATAGACTAGACTACAGACTAGACTATAGACTAGACTATAGACTAGACTATAGACTAGACTATAGACTAGACTATAGACTAGACTATAGACTAGACTATAGACTAGACTATAGACTAGACTATAGACTAGACTATAGACTAGACTATAGACTAGACTATAGACTAGACTATAGACTAGACTATAGACTAGACTATAGACTAGACAATAGACTAGACTATAGACTAGACTATAGACTAGACTATAGACTAGACTTTAGACTAGACTATAGACTAGACTATAGACTAGACTATAGACTAGACTATAGACTAGACTATAGACTATACTATAGACTAGACTATAGACTAGACTATAGACTAGCCTATAGACTAGACTATAGACTAGACTATAGACTAGACTATAGACTAGACTATAGACTAGACTATAGACTAGACTATAGACTAGACTATAGACTAGACTATAGACTAGACTATAGATTAGACTATAGACTAGACTATAGACTAGACTATAGACTAGACTATAGATTAGACTATAGACTAGACTATAGATTAGACTATAGACTAGACTATAGACTAGACTATAGATTAGACTATAGACTAGACTATAGACTAGACTATAGATTAGACTATAGACTAGACTAGACTAGACTAGACTAGACTATAGATTAGACTATAGATTAGACTATAGACTAGACTATAGACTAGACTATAGACTAGACTATAGACTAGACTATAGATTAGACTATAGACTACTATAGTCTATAGACTTGACTATAGACTAGACTATAGACTTGACTATAGACTAGATTATAGACTAGACTATACACTAGACTTTAGACTAGGCTTTATTCTAGGCTTTAGATTGGTCTTTAGAATAGCCTTTAGATTTGGCTTTAGACTAGGCTTTCGACTAGAATATAGACTTGACTTTAGACTACACTGTAGAACAGACTATAGATGTGACTGTATACTAAATTTCAATTTTCCATCCCTGGCCTGGTTATTTTCACCATTAAAATATCAATTTTGTAGGCGTTGTATTTGAATAGTTTTGTTTTTGGTTTGTCTCGTTATTGAGTGAATTTTTTTGGCTTATATCCACTCATAAGGGAGCTAACTACATATGGGGGTACTTTTGTTGTTGTTATTGCTAATGGAAGATTCTAATGAAGTGCTGATGTTCGTTTTTATTCACACTTGAATATACGATTATCTTATTTAGACAAAGTCAACGTAGGTATCTATTTTGTATCTCTGTCAGTCCTGCTTATTTTCTTTGACGTTTTTTTTTGCTCTCTAATCTAAAGAAATTTTTGTTTATATATTTCTCTATATATACACACTTTTTTAGTATTTTATTTATTATTTATATAAAAACATGAGTTGATTTTCACACCCTATTACTTTTAAGCTTTATATACTAAAATCATTTCTACACCCCTTACTTGTAAGTAGTATATAATTTGGTTATTTCTTAATGAAATATCTAAAGCTGTTAATGACTAAATTAATGCTTTTATTTTGTAGAATTTTGTTTTTCAGTTCTCTATGTTATTATATACAATGTACATAATATCCCTTAAAAATCTTTCTACCCTATTTGGGAGGTTACCAACTCCTTTGAAATTGGTTTTAAGTATCAAATTGTTTTCATTATAAATACTCTTTTTCTATTAAGCATAATGAGTATTTATTTATGTTGGAAGTTGATTTTTTTTTATAAATATTTAATAATAATTGTCAGAGTTATTAATTTGACATTTACATGATTGACAATTTAATCGATATCTTTTGTGTAATTGAAATATTTTCTCTATTTAGTACGAAAAAAACACATATTGTAACCTTTAGATTACTTAAGGTTAAATACACTGGAATTAAATTGCTTATTTATAGTTATTTTTTTGGGCAGCTGTCGTAGCTGTTGTTAAATCATTCGATCCAAGTTTTGCGCAGAATTTCATATTACATCGTTCTACCATCATCGTAGTTGATCAGGCTAGACTATAAAAAAGATTATAGACTATCCTATAGACTATATTACGACTGTGTACTAGATTATAGACTATTCTAAGTATTATATAGTCTATAATATGGTCTATAGTGTAGACTATATACTATAGACTAGGCTATATACTAGACTATATACTAGAATATTGACCATAAACAATACTATGGACTAGACGACTATAGACTAGACGACTATAGACTAGACAACTATAGATTAGACAACTATAGACTAGACGACTATAGACTAGACGACTATAGACTAGACGACTATAGACTAGACTATAGACTATAAACTAGACTATAGACTAGACTATAGACTAGACGACTATAGACTAGTCTATAGACTAGACTATAAACTAGTCTATAGACTAGACTAGACTATAAACTAGTCTATAGACTAGACTAGACGACTATAGACTAGACGACTATAGACTAGACGACTATAGACTAGACGACTATAGACTAGACGACTATAGACTAGACGACTATAGACTAGACGACTATAGACTAGACGACTATAGACTAGACGACTATAGACTAGACGACTAAAGACTAGACGACTATAGACTAGACGACTATAGACTAGACAACTATAGATTAGACGACTATAGACTAGACGACTATAGACTAGACGACTATAGACTAGACTATAGACTAGTCTATAGACTAGACTATAAACTAGTCTATAGACTAGACTAGACGACTATAGACTAGACGACTAAAGACTAGACGACTATAGATTAGACGACTATAGACTAGACGACTATAGATTAG